GGAGAAACAATAATGTACAGTATGTGGAAAATAATGTGTTTTTTTAATCTTAAACCGCATAAACACATTTCATTACACCAAATACACAAAATAATGTTCTTTTTAGCAGCATCATATGACCCCTTTAAATATTGGAATAACCTAAGAATAACAAATGTTTAGAAGAATTTTTCATTGGCAGTATGTTAACTAATTAATTAATTAGCCCTAATGTAAAGTGTGACCAAACAATAAAGAATCAAAACACTTTCAAACAATATCTAGGGCATGTTGAAAGTCCAGATTAAAATGTAAAAAAGTTTGAAAATAAATAGCCTATTAAATCTAAATATTTATGTATTTGGTGCTGTGATGAACACACAAATAGCGAATACACAAATCTGAATGGCTATTTACATCATTTAAACATGATTCAGAAACAGGAAGTAGTGCAGCTGCTTTGTTTACAGGGTTTCCGGGGTAATCATAATCGATTTTATCGATTAGTTGTTGCAGCCCTAATCCAGAGCATCTCTCACGAGCTCCGCCATGCGCTTCTCATCCGTGCTTGTTTACATCAGAAAGCGCATGCATCTTTAACGCAGCGTACAGTGGTGTTGTGCATTGTCCAGATGGTAGGATAAGTATTCTATAGTATTGACCAGATGGTAGGATAAGTATTCTTAAAATGCATTCAAAATTCTGAATAATTTGTAATAAATAATTATTCCCGGTATTTTGAAGTGCCCACGATAACAATATCGTGCATATTCATTATCGTGATATATCGCATTACCGAATACCAGCACATGTCGAATTGCGTGTTCTCTCATAAAAGCGCAATTGTGTGCGTACCTCTTGCACCAAAACTTCCTCCATGATATTTTCAGGAGGAATGTTTCTCAGTCGCTCCATGGTCTCATACATGCCCTGCAGCTCACGGAGCTTATCCACAGACCCCAACATCTGCTTGAGGAGCACCAGACCCACCCTGAACACAATCTTCACTCCTGACAAAAAAAATAAATAAATAAAAAAAATTAAAAAAAACCTTAAACATCAAAATTCCATTTCAATTAAATTTGGTTCTGAAATATCTTCTCTTTATTTTCTACCTCTTTTCATAGAATCTTGAAAAAATCTTGTTTCCACAAAAATATTAAGCAGCACAACTGTTTTCAAGATTGATAATAATAATAATAAATGTTTATTGTGCAGAAATACAGCATATTAGAGTGATTTCTGCTGGATCATGTGACACTGAAGACTGAAGTACTGAAGTACTGACTCCTGAAAATTCAGCTTTGGATCACAGGAAATAACTATTTTTAATAAATTAATTTCTAGGAAAAAATTAATTTTAAAACACATTCAAATATAAAACAGTTATTTTAAATTATAATACAATTTCACAGTATTTTCATATCAAATAAATGCAGCCTTGGTAAGCATAAGAGATTTCTTTCAAAACCACTGATAAATTTCACCAACCCTAAATTTTAGAATAACAGTATATTAAGGAATTAAAAAGATTCAATTTTGAAGTCATGTTGAATTTGAGCACAAACAGAACTATTTTATTTTTTTTATAATGTATATGACTGACCTTCACAGAAGAACATGTCCCAGACACGCAGGACACAAGACCAAGGCAGCGTACGGGAGAAAATGCACATAAACCACTCTGTCATGTACAAGATGGGGTCGATCTTAAATTTCTTCAGGTGACGGTAAGCCATGGGACAAACTCTCCTCAGAAGAGAGAAAAAAATCTCTCCGTCCAGCTGGATAGCTTCCTGAGGGACAGAAAAATAGAAGAAAGAGGAGTTACAAAAAAAAAAAAAAAAAATTTTAAATAAAAAAAAACTCTCTCCGCTCTGGTCCTAGTAACAGTCTCTTTGAGTTGGAGTACTCACCAACCCAGCACTGTAGTAGCCAGGCAAGTATTTCTCACAGATTTGCACAAGACACCAGAAGGCTTGCTAGAAGAAAATGAGAGTGATGATGGTGATGGCTTCATATCCTGTGATATTCCTCTAAGTCGCATTTTTTTCACCCTGTTGCTCTTTTGAAAGAAAAACAGCCTAGCGGAGCAACATAGACAGCTTAACAATAAAGAATCAAAACACTTTCAAACAATATCTAGGGCATGTTGAAAGTCCAGATTAAAATGTAAAAAAGTTTGAAAATAAATAGCCTATTAAATCTAAATATTTATGTATTTGGCGCTGTGATGAACACCATAGCGCATGCACAAATCTGAATGCTGTTTAAATCATTTAAACATGTTTCAGAAACAGCAAGTAGTGCAGCTGCTTTGTTTACATGGTTTTCCGGTGTAACAGCTGCATTATGTTCAGCGCCATCTGCTGTCAGAGAGTGAATGTGCTTTCATCCAGAGTAGGGCTGCAACTAACGATTATTTTGATAATCGATTAGTTGGTCGATTATTTTTCCGATTAATCGGATTAAAAACAAACAATTTTCCTTTTTTTATTTTATTGACAAAAACACACTATTCCACATTCTGCCCAATGTCCTTAAAACAAACGTGCCAACTGAATGCTATGAAAACATACAGTGCTTAACAATTTATTAGACCACCTGCCATAATAAAGAGAAAACACATTTTAGGAATTTTA